AAACATGATGGTAAAACAGCATAGTACCGGTACAGTGACAGACAAAAAAAGAAATAGAATAACATTGAAAAACTAGATTTCAACACATTTACCTATGGTCAGTTGTTTTTTTTTTTTTTACAAGGAGATGAAATCAGTCAAGTGAGGAAATAACAGCCTTTCTAACAAATAGTACTGGAAAAATACCAAAACCATCTGAAGAAAACTTAAGCAAGACCCACTCCTCACAACATACACAAAAATCATCTCCAGGTGGAACAGGGAACTAGGAGTAAAACCAAAGACTATAAAATTCATCAGAGAAAAACTAACAACTCTAGAAACCCAAATCTACAGCATGAACAGACTTCCAAGCATAATGAAAAACCTACAGCCAGGGGAGAATAGAGCAGATAAATGAAGCCTCCTAAAAAAAAAAAAAAATCAGAGCTTCCTTTAGAAGGACTAGTAAATCTTTAAAGTTTCCTAGATGAAAAGTCCTTTTGCTTGATAGGTTTGAGCTTCAGGAATAGAAAGAAGTTTCTATAATTGTGCTAATTTTTTATAGTTACTATAACAAATGACTACAAATTTAGTGACTTTTAGAAACCAAAACCAAAGCCTTCAGGATAATTCTGACTCATATCAACCATATAGGACAGAATAGATTTTTCCCATAGTATGTCCAACGATAAAATTCTTCAGAGAAACATTTCTTTGCCACAGGCCAAGCGGTAAGTTTACCTGCTGAGCTTTTGGTTACTAGTTGAGAGTTTTAACCACTGCTCCACTTGGTGTCCTAACAGTGACTTAAAACAACACAGGTTTACCCTGTACCTTGTTGTTGTTGTTCTATGTCATCGAGACACCTGTGACTCATAGCAAGCTTATGTACAACAGCCCTAAACTCTGCCCTATCTTGTGCCAGTCTCACTATCTCCGACACACCTATCCCCATCACCCCAGTCACTGAATCAATCCATCTCATCGAGGGTCTTCCTCTTCTGTGCTGTCCTTCCATCCTCCCAAGCATGACGTCCCTCTCCAAGGACTGGTTCCTCCTTGCAATATGTCCAAATTATTTCAGACGAAGCTTCAGAATCCTTGTCTCTAAGGAGCAGCCTGGCTTCACCCTCTCCAGGAAAAACCTGTTTGTTTTTCTTAGCAGTCCATGGTATATTCAATACTCTTCTCAAACACCATAGCTCAAAGGTATCAGTTCTCCTTCTATCAAGCTTAGAAGTCTGAAATTAATCTCAGTAGGCAAAATATGAGATGTTGGCCAGATTACCTTCCTTTCTGGAGGCTTTAGGTTAGAATACACTTTTTTTCTTCTTGGCAGAAAGCAAAGAGTACCAGAGGAATGTCTGTTTTATTGACTATGCAAAGGGATTTTACAATGTGGATCACAACAAATTGTGGCTAATTTTGAGGAGAATGGGAGTCCCAGGACATGTGATTGTGTTCATGTGAAACCTGTACTTGGACCAGGAAGCTTTCCTCCAAACAGAGCAAGGAAACACTGCATGTTTCAAAATCAGGAAAGAATTCTTTTTTTTTTTAATTCTTGTACCTCCTTATCTATACTATCAATTCATTTTTTGCTGTTCAAGTTGCTCTTCATCAATATATTTCTTCTGAATTGTTGCCTCAGGTGTACTTGCTCTCTTAACGGCATCCATTGTTTCTTCCATTATTTACATCTTCTTCTGAACCTGCTAAGATAACTCCACATCAACATATTTCTTCTGGTTCTCTTTACCTGGGGTATTTATTTGGTCTGCTTTTTTAGAAGGGTGGGTTATTTATTTATTTATTTTTATGATGACTGTGTCATATTGCTGCTTTCTTGACATTATTTGAGTCTTTTCTCAGTAGATGTTAGGTGGTTGTAATTATATAATGACTCAAAGTATGGCAATATTTTGTGAAGAGCCTGTATACTTGTGCTCCTTTCTTGGCAGGAGACCCACAGGGCTGAGGGGCCAACATCAGTGTTTCACCCAAAGTACCTGAACAGCAGAACAGGTAATTTTGTTCCCTTCCATATACTGCTTCTTGGCCTGGTTTGGCCTGACTTGTCCCTTTCTGCTTGAGCTTAAAGGATTCCATGTGGTATCAATAGATAACAGTGATTCACTCAAAGTACCTAAATGGTGGAATAGAAAGTCTGTTCCCATCCGTAAGTCATGTCTCAGCCAGCTTGAGAAAGGAATGTGTCAGGGATGCATCTTATCTCCATATCTTTTCAATCTAAATTCAGGAGGCTAGGCTTTATAAGGAAGAATGTAGCATCAGGATTGGAGGAAGATTGCATCAAGCTACATTATGCAAATGACACAACTTTACTTGCTCAAGTTGAGGCAGACCTGAGGAATTTTCTGCAGAAGGTCAAGGACTGTAGTCTTCAATATGGGGTGAAGCTCAACATCCAGAAGACAAAGATTCTCACCACTGGGCCTATTGGCTGAACCGCGATAGATGGAGAAGAGATTGAGGCTGTTAACAATTACAGTTTGCTCCATAATCAACACTCTTGGTACAAACAGTCAGGAAATCAAAAGACAAATTACCCTGGCAAAATCTGCTGTCAGGCACCTCTCCAGAGTTCTGAGACACAACCAAGTCAGCCTAGAGACTAAGGTGGACCTGATCCAGGCCTTACAATTACTTACAATCCAGGTCTTCACAAGTACTTGCTATGCATCAGAGAACTGGAGAATGACTAAGTATGACAGAAGAAAATCAAAGCCTTTGAGTTGTGGTGCTGGAGAAGAGTCTTGAACATACCATGGACTGCCAAGAAAACAAATATGTCTGTCTTGGAGAGGGTGAAACCAAGTTTCTCCTTAGAGGCTAGGATTTTGAAGTTCCATCTCACATTCCTGGGGCACGTGGTCAGGAGGGATCAGTCCTTGGAGAAGGACATCATGCTTGTTAGGGTGGAGGAACATCACAGAAGAGGAAGACCCTGGTTGAGATGGATTGATATAGTAACTGGGCAATGGAGCAGGTGTGTCAAGTCAGTGAGACTGGATTAAGACAGGACAGGTTTCAGGGCTGTGTACATAGGGTCACTATCAGTCACAGGCCATTCAATGGCACATGATAACAACAGGGGCTCTTTAGATTTTTTAGTCTGTGGCCAAAATATTTCATCATCAAAGCCTGCAGTATATTATAGTGTATGCCATTCTTAAATTAACCTTCTTGCTGGCTATTTTCTCTCCTATTTTCCTTGTTAAGTATTTTTATCTTATAACATACACACTAATGTAATTAGGACATCGTTGGACAGAGAGGTGAAGAGATGTCACTATTTTGCCTATTACAAACCATCCCATATTGCTAAAGGGTAAATTTGAACTTCATAGGGTTTTCTGGGCTGTAGTTTTCACAGATGTAGGCTATCAGGCTTTTTTTTTATGGTTTTGGGGATAAATTTGAATTGCCAAGCTTGTGGTTAGTAGCCAAGTGGAAACAGTTTGTACCCTCCAATGACCTTAACTTATAATCCCTGCCATTGCATTGATTCTCACTCATAACAATACTCCATAGGGTTTCCAAGGCTGTAACTCTCTCTTTGGGAGGATACTGCTCATGCTTCTTCCATGGATCCATACAGAACATACTATGTAGTGTTGTGTCATCTTCCCAAGAATATCAAAATCTTTTAAAATTTAAGTTACATTCCTTGTATTTTGTGTTGTAACATGTATCTATGTTATAATTCAAAGTAGAGTTAAAATCTCACCCATGAGACTTATATACAAGAAATTATTGTTTCATTGACATAGTATTAATTTATACCTCTTCATAAAAAAGCTCTGGTGGTTTATTAATAAAGAGCTACGTTGCCATTCCAAAAGCATGCAAATCAAATCTACTAGCTATTACACAGGAGGAAAATGGGCACTCTCCTCCCTTGTAATTTACTGCCTCTGAAAACCCTTTGGAAACCACTGTTGGGGGGGGGGTCAGCTGAGTCAGTTCTGATTCAAAGTACATAACAATAACAATCACAATCATCTATTTACCATTTCCATTGCTCTATCCCCCCCTCCAGTATATCCCTGAGTTTCTGTCTGGGATAACTTTTTTTCTGCCTAAAAAACTGGTTTAGCATCTATAAAGAGTATGTTGTTGTTGTTACTGATTTCCTTTGAGTCGAGCACAACTTATAGTGACTCTATGAACAAAAAGCCTGAAGCCTTTCTATAATTTCCCCCCATTTATCACCAATATCGGACATGATTTTTCTTTAAGCATCTTAGTCTTTAAAAGTTGTCTTTGATTATTTCATGCTGAGATTAATGAGCACTTGTGTTTATAAAAGCTGATATTTGTTTAAATAATTATTTACAAAGGCATAAATATATTCTACTCTCAGCAAGCATCTTAAAACGTTTACCAGCATTTTGAGTTTATAACACAAAATCTCATATTTCATCATATAACACAACTACAAAGAAATCAGAGCAGGGATTAAACATTTAATTATATTTTCAATTCTTCCCCCTGCCCCCGAATGATATGTTACTTAAGAGCAAAGCTGAGTTTTGAAACAAACAAACAAACAAAACAAAACCCCAACAATTTCTTTTAATATTTAGTTCAGGAATAATGATATTTTTATATTATTTTAAACTTTCTTTGTGTTGTTATTATTGTTAGGGGCCATGAAGTCAAATACAGATAATAGCAACCCTATGGACAACATCTATGAACTTATCTTCTCCTGCCCATCCACACAATCTTTGTTACTACAGTCATTATGTCAGGCTACCTAGTTGAGGATCTTCCTCTCTTTCTTTCTAAACATGAAATCCTTCTCCAAAGAGTTGCTTCTTCTAGCAACATGCTCAGAATATGTGAGATGAAGCTTTATCATCTTTGTCTTCAAGAAACATTCCCCAATTCTTCCTCTGTATTTGTTATTTTACATTTTTTTATGGAAATGGTTTCTGCTCTGAGTACATGTTCTAAATAAGTAAGTATCTCTCTAAATCTAAGTTTTCATTTTAGGACAACTTCCTCTGGAAGAGGAGGTGAAAGATACCCTGGCGAATCTGCTTGGTCTTTACACTGTAAATGATGGGGTTCATCACCGGAGGAGCCAGTAAATAGATATTGGCAATGGCTACGTTGACCAGTGGTGGAGCTTGTTTTGCAAAGCGATGGGTCATGGACAGACTCACCATGGGGACATAGAGGACCAAAACAGCCAGAAAGTGGGAAAGACAGTTATTGAGGGCTTTTAGTCGCTCAGTCCAGGTGGCTGTACCCAGGATATTTCTCAGGATGAGTGCGTAGGAGAGGATAATGAGCACTGGGTCCAAAACGATAATGAGCAGCACTAGAACAAACGCATACCAGCTGTTGACGCGGATGTCAGCACAGACCAGGCGAATCATATCCTGGTGAAGGCAGTAGGAGTGAGAGAGAAGGTGGGAGCCGCAGAAGGGTAGGCGCCTGAGTAGGAAAAGGGAAGGAAGAACAGCCAGAACACAGCGGCAAATGATGGCTATTCCAATCTTACCAATGACGTCATTAGTAAGAACAGAAGCGTAATGGAGTGGACGGCAAATGGCCACATAGCGATCAAAGGACATGGCCAGCAGGACAGAGGATTCCATGAACGAGAACCCATGGAGAAAAAAGAACTGGGCAAAACAGGCTTCAAAACGGATCTTTTGCATATTGAACCAGAGGAGCTGCATGACTGTGGGCAGGGTGGTGAAAGTGAGTCCCAGGTCAGTCAGGGCCAGCATGGAGAGAAATAAGTACATGGGTTGGTGGAGGGATGTGTCTTTGCAGATGATGACGAGGATGGTAGTGTTGCCCATGATGGAAATGGTGTAGAAGCAGCTGAAAGGAATGGAGATCCAGATGTGGAAGTCCTCGTATCCAGGGATTCCCGTGAGCATAAAGTAGAAAGTATCTTGGGTGGTGGTGTTCATGTTGGATAGGTCTGATAAATGAAGAACCAAAATTTGTTTCCCATAATAACAATCTTATCAGTGTTAAAGATTCATTATCTCTTCAAGTTTTATTGAAATCACAAATGTGTACTAAAGTTGCTTTTGATGAGTACTGATGAGCCAGAATACAACTGCATAAATTCTGTCATAAATTTATCTAATATGAGCTACTATAAAAATTATTATACTAGTTTATGTAAAAATTTCTAATGCATTGTTTTCATACTGGATTCTTCCAGTTTCCCTCATACCCCCCATAAAATTGTACAACCCAATGATTAATCCACCACCCCTTACACCCTCATCCCTCTGCTTCCATCATCCCCCCCCCCCAACTTGGATTCTCATACTCATTCTACAATAATGGCTTTATATATTTGTCCTTGTGGAACTGAATCAGCTTACTCAGCATATTCCTCCCAAGCTAAGTAATGATTTATAAAATCACACTGCTCCTGTGTGCCACCTAGTGCCATAATTTCTCAATCCATTCGATTGTGGTTGGACAGCTGGGCTGTTTCCATGTTCTTATGATGGTGAATGAAGCTGCTATGAACATTGGTGAACAAGTCTCCATTTGTACCACTTTTAAACGAAACTCTATGTCATTATCAAATATTTTTTCCCATTCTGTGGCTTTCCTTTTTACTCTGTTGGAGAGAGGCAAATCAAAACAACTATGAGATATCATATCATCCCAGTAAGAACAGCAAAATTTAACATAACAGCAAGCAACAAATGCTGGTGAGGTTGTGGAGAAACTGGAACCATTATTCACTGTTGGTGGGAGTGTAAAATGGTGCAACCGGTGCAACCACTGTGAAAAATTGTGTGGCATTTTCTCAAAAAATTTGCAAATAGAGATACCATTTGACCCAGCAATTCCACTACTGGGACTATACTTTAAAGAGACCATAACCGACATCCAAGCAGATATATGCACACCCAAGTTTATCGCGGCTTTGTTCACAATATCAAGGAGTTGGAAACAACCCAAGTGCCCATCAACAAACGAATGGCTAGAGAAGCTGTGGTATATTCACACAATGGAATACTACAGTGCATTGATAAACAAGGAACTCATGCAATATTATTCAAAATGGGTGACTCTGGAGGACATTATGCTGAGTGAAGTGTCTCAGTCACAAAAGGACAAATATTGCATGGTGCCACTATTGTAGAATGGGACTGACATCAGGGAGAGAACAATTTAAAAGTGATATATGATAGGGTATTATGGTTGTCACAAGAATCCAGAATTAAGGTTGCATAGTGGAGTGTACACAGGGCTGTGGGGTGTGTGTGGGGGGGGGATTGTATACTAATGAAAGAATTTTTCTTTTACTTTTCAAAGAGAGAAATGGGCTGGGATAGGGAGAGGGCTGGGCAGGGAGAAAAGTGCAACAAGGAATGAATGGAAATCCAAAATCTCTGTAATTGTTCATTAAAATTAATAAAATAAAGTTTATTATTTATTATTAGAATGGGACTGACATCAGGGTTGGGGTGAGACTGAGAAAAACTGGATAAATTATGTATACTGTATTGAAACAGATGAGGGAAAGAAAAGATTAAAGGCTATATATGATTGGGTATTATAGCTATGACAAGAGTCCAGAATGAAGGCTGCATAGTGGAGTGTACTAGGACAGGGGTGGGGGGGAGGGAGAGGGGAGGAGAATTGTATACCAATGAAGGAGTTTTACTTTTCAAGGAGAGGAGCAAACTGGGGGCAGGGAGGGGTGGGCAGGGAGAAAAGTGTAACAATGAATGAATGGAAATCCAAAATCTCTGTAAATGTTCATTAAAATAAAAAAAAATAAATAATAATAACAGAAAAAGAAACTCTATACCTTGTACTTACACTATAATACAATTCATACTTTCTGAGAACTTTGTATTCTTGTCTTTACTTTCCCCTGGATATGTCTTTATACAAATGTATTTGGAATTATGCATACACTAACTGTTCAGAAAGATTATTTTCAATTATTTGCTATGCTTCTGAAAGCTGGACAGTGCATAAGGAAAACAGAAGAAAATTAATGCCTTTGACTACTGGGTTGGAGAAGAGTACTGAACATCCATCCCATGGATTGCCAAAATGAAAACCAAATACATCTTGCAGAAAGTGCAGCCAAAGTGCTCTTTGGAGGCAAAGATGATAAAGCTTCACTTCATATACTTCAGGCATGTTGCTATGAGGGGGCCATTCCTTGTAAAGGGACATGATACTTGGAAAGGCAGACGGCCGGCAAAGAATAGGAAGACCCTCAACCAGGTGGAATGGCAGTGACTGAGGCAATGGGCTCTAGTGTGCCAGGAAATGTAAAGATGGTACAGGATGGTACAGGATAGGACAAGATTCAGAACTGCTGTTCACAGGGTAGCTATAAGTCATACTTTACTTGCCAGCACCTAATAACACAACAACAGCATACACTAACTGAAAGTGCTATTAATATTTCAAATATCTTTATAGTAACCAAATACAAAAGACTGATTTTAGTTAATTTTCTGCTAGAAATACAGAAAAAATCCCTTTCTATTTACTTATAAACATGACATTGATAAAAAAGCATTATCATATTTCTTGCTTGAGTAGCTGTATGGATTATATTTATGATAATTATTATATGTAGTATTAGTGTAGTAAGGAACTCTCGTGGTCTAGTGGCAAGAAACTGCGCTTCAATCCTGAAGCCATGTGGTTTGAATCCATCAGCTGCTCCATGGGAGAAGGATAGGCAATCTCCTCCCATGTGATTAACCGCCCCTGAAAACTCACAGGAGGGCCAGTTATGGGCCAATTCCAATTTGATGGTGTATAACAAAAGCAACAACTAGTATAGTAGAAGATTGTAGAGATTGAACAGAGGTTCAGTGTGCATATTTTAAAAGTGATGTCTATAGAAACTCTCTAAGAGCAATGATGTCAGTCTGGAGACCAAGGTGTGCCTGATTCAGGCCACAGTCTTTACAATTATTTGCTGTGCATAAGAAAGCTGGACAATGACTGAGGATGATAGAAGAAAAAGCCATGCCTTTGAGCTGTGGTGCTGGAAAAGAATATTTAATATAATGGACCGCCAAGAGAACAAACAAGTCTGTTTTAGAGAGCGTGAAACCAGGATGCTCCTTGGAAGCTCCTTGGAGGTAAGGACTTTGAAACTCCATCTCATATACTTTGGGCATGTGGCCAGGAGAATCAGTCCTTGGAGAAGGACATCACACTTAGAAGGGTGGAGGGACAGTACAGGAGAGGAAGACCCCCGAATGAGATGAATTGACACAGTAAGATTACCAGTAATAGGGTTAGGTATGTTGGAAACAGTGAGATTAGGTCAGGATAGGGCAGGGTTCAGAGCTATTATACTTAACTTTATTCCAAATATGTTTTATGTACTATGATTCACAGGTGATTTCATGGTACCTAATAACAACATCCAAGAGTTAAATTAAATGGGTGGATATAAGACAGAAGTGGGATGTGTGTGTGTGTGTGTGTGAGAGAGAGAGAGAGAGTACACAAGAGATGTAGAAAGAGAAAATTACATGATAATAAATACATTATCCGGAAATCTATCACAGATCAGAATATTTTAGAATCTACATTTGACTCATTTTAACCTCAAGGCACACCTAAGGTCAAAAAGTACACATTAAGAGGAAAAGAAATAGCATGGAAAGATGTTTAGTACCAGTAAAAGTTTGGCAATTTAACTCTATTATAGCAGTTAAAATCCTGGGCTTTGTTAACCTAGTGCATAGTTCTACTCATCAGGACATCATAAGGCGAGATTGAGCCAATAGTAAACAACAACAGTAACAGTAAATCGATTTCTAGTTTTTCATTTACTTCTCACTACCGGTAAAATTCTTAGAGATCTCCTTTCAGGAATGGAGGGTGGGGACTTCTGCATCATATTGTATGAGTAATTTATAGACTCCTTTAAATTTCTTTCAGTCTAACTTCTTTGTTCCTATGATTTATCTTTGTGTGGCAAGGTCTAGGCATGATTACTAGAAAATATTGAGAAAATAAAAGATGAAAACATGTTATCTTCATATTACCTTCTAAAACTCACTGCAGGAAAATTATATGGCTGGTAAACGACCAGCCTTCCTTTCATAACAGCATGGTCCAGAAGTTCTTGCCTGGTTAATCCTGATTTTAGCTCAATCTTCAGTTATATGTCCTTATGCTTCCCCCAATGCCTCCCTAAGTTAAGACATTTATGACAGAGAATAAAAAAAGGAAAATGGAAATGGATGCACTATAGCCAAGTAAAGGCCAATTTCGGGATAGAATTAGTTAATGGAGGGTCTCTGGAAAGAAAGCAAGTTATTCTAATTAACATGCTTTGACAGTATTTCACCACAAGTTTGGTATAAAAGAGATTAATGGAAACAGAGTTAGTGTAGCACAATGATAAAAATCTGGATAACTCACTTCATTTCATGTTCTTTATCACATCTCCTGACTCCAACCACACTTCTCATCAATGTATCTATGAAAGTGGGTATTCTTCATTCCCTCCCTGCGCAACATTCTCTGTTCGCACCATATTTCACCCAAGTGTTCTCTCTTGTCACTAATCATTCATGGGGCAGACCAGCCTCACCTGTGCACACACAGCAGTATTTAAATGTTCTCTTATGCTTCGATTGTTTGTTTCATGGCTGAATGTGGTTATATACTCCTGAAGAAGCCCAGGCTGGAAAGTAGGAGGTGGGTGGGGAAACTTCTGGAAAAGTCTTGCGGGAATATGAATATAATGCTCTGAGACTTGAGGTCCTAAGGGATAGTACCAGAAGCCAGTAACTTGTTTAGGAGTACTAAGAAGTAAGTACTTGTTCACTGTACTAAGAAAACTTTATTACTTTATTTGGTCCTATGTAAGAGAAATATCCTCTTGAAAATAGTTCTAAGTCTCTTTGCATCCATATTTGGTGAGCTTACGGGTAAATTGTAATTGGGTCAGCTTAGGTGTTACTGCTACTATGTATGCTTTGCAGGCAACAACTACAC